ATAGTACCAACAAATCGTGGACATTGGCTTAGTAGTTCATATCCATGAAAAATGGACCCAGTTGGCGCTTCGAATCAGCCAACTTTTCCATAATGCTGTAAATGCAGCCATGCCCGCTCTCAGGCTTCTCTCTGGTATAACTATTGGTCTGTTCTTTGTAGCTGCACTGTTGAACTGGTGCAATAAGTTAAAGTAAGACAATTGTTCTGTTCTTTGTAGCTGCACTGCTGAACTGGTGCAATAAGCTAGAGTGAGGAAACCTATATTTGTCTCACTTTAACTTATTGTACCAGTTCAATAGTACAGCTACAAAGAACAAACAAAACGGCTGCGTTCAGCAGAACAAAGTGATCAGTGAGCGCTTAGTGATTTTCGCTCCTGATTGGTAAATTCTTCTGGGTCTATGGAGAATCTAAAAGAATGCTCCAATCACAGACAATAATCACTAAGTGCTCAATGATCACTTTGTTCTACTGAACGCGGCCAATATTTCTCACTCTAGCTGCTCTAGCTTATTACACCAGTTCAGCAGTGCAGCTACAAAGAACAAATTAATGTCGCGCGCCACTTGACTAGTGCTGAACATTCAACTTATTGATTTATGGATAACAATTTATTGAGACACGAATTTTTCAGATAATATAAAAATACAAGCTACAGCTAGCGGAATGTCGTCTGCAGCGGACGATACACAAGACTCAACGGCTAAACACAAAACTCACAGAGACCCTAATGCGGGACGTAAGGCAGAAAAGAAGAAAGCAAAGAAAAAGCATGTTCAGGAATTAACAGATAAGCAGAGGAATCCAAAGGCGTTCACATTCAACTCCGCGGTAAAAGCCGAGAAGAGATTCAGGCGTAAACAGGATATTGAAACTAAAAAGCAGCATATTTCATATTATCAACCTTTAGTTGATAGAACGCCTTTAGAACCTCCACCGATCTTGGTGGCTGTAGTGGGACCACCAAAAGTGGGCAAATCTCTGGTTATTCAATGTTTAATCAAAAACTATGTGAAGCAGCCTTTGATCAGCATACTTGGTCTAGTCACTATTGTATCTGGTAAAAAGCGAAGAATTACTTTTATGGAATGCAACAATGACATCAACAGCATGATAGATATCGCCAATGTGGCAGATCTGATACTGTTACTGGTGGATGCATCCTTTGGATTTGAGATGGAGATATTCGAGTTTCTAAATATATGTCAGGTGCATGGTATGCCTAGGGTAATGGGTGTACTCACTCATCTGGACTTGATCAAAAACTCCAAACAAATGAGAAAAACAAAGAAGACACTGAAGCATCGTTTCTGGACAGAGGTATATGCTGGCGCAAAACTTTTCTATCTCTCTGGCTTGCTGCACGACGAGTACCTGCGTATGGAAATTAAGAATCTAGCACGCTTCATATCTGTAATGAAATTCAGGCTCTTGACTTGGCGAACCACTCATCCTTACATTCTTGCTGATAGAATAGAGGACCTGATATCATCAGAATTAATCAGGCAGAATCCAAAAATCGATAGAACAATCAGTTTATATGGGTAAGCACAGAAAATGGAATAAAAATATTGTATCTTTGTCTAATCTATGTACACACATGTATCAATTACGTCAGAACAGTGCAAAGATATAGATATTATTATAGATAAAAACAATTATTTTTAGAATTTTACCAAATATGTACTTTGCAAACATTTTTAAATCTTGGAGAACATCCTGCATGATGTATGATAACAATTTTTTTGATAACATTTTTAATAATTTTCATTTTTCTCAAGTATTTTTCAAATATTATTGTTTATAAAGATTTATATATAAGATCTCATTTACAATTTATGTATTTGTAATTTATATATTAATAAAATATATAACTGATCTTCAGGTATGTCAGAGAAATTTCTCTGAATAAAGAGACGTCTGTACATATACCCGGCTGCGGAGACATGAAGATCAAGGACGTGAGCTTTTTACCAGATCCCTGCCCCTTCCGGAGCAGATCAAGAAACGTGCCCTGGTGGAGAAGGAACGGCTTATCTACGCATCGTTTTCCGACGTCGGCGGGATAGTCTATGATAAGGACGCTGTCTACGTGGAACTGGGTGGTAGTCATTCCTATAAACAAAAAGACACTGGGATAGCTGGTGTGTTAATAAACACGCAGGAGACGCTTGACCAGAAACTTCAACGCAGTGAGCTGCAATTGTTCAGCGACGCTGCACCGATCAAATCACAGGATGTAAACGAGATCATGGCATCTTATATAGGCAAATTGGTGACGGAGAACGGGAGAGTTCGTCGGAAAGTGGTATTTAATGATGATAAATCTGTCGATGATCTGAAGATGTCGATCAAAATAAAAATGAAAACAATGAGAACGACGACGACGACGACGATAATGTCGACAGTGACGATGATCCTGAGGTTGAATCGAGTGATGAGGATACTGTGGAACTTGAAAGTGAGAACGGTGCCAAGAGGAAAAGAACTGAAGAAGACGATACACAGAATAAAAAGAAGAAAATGTCGGCTACTAAAGTTGAAAATGATATGAATCTTGATGAGATTGAATTGATGAAAGATAAGAGGAAGCAAGTTCTCCAAGAGAATACAGGAGTATACCATTCTCTAAGTAAAGAATCAGACGTACTGATCAAGAATAAGGTCTCGGAAGCACTAAGTTTTCTCGAGGCAGCCAAGAAGAACGCGAAACAAAACGGCGACGATGAAAGTTTTGACGAATTTAGTGACGGAGATTCGCGCGCGAGGTTAGAGATGGACGATTCGGATCAGGTTAGTGATTTCGAGGAGGAAGAACTTAAGACAAACAAGAAGATGAAGATGAAGAAGAGGAAGAAGAAAAAGAAGAAGAAAAAGAGGTGGAAGAAGAGAAAGGGGAGGAAGAGGAGGAGAAGAAAGTAAAAACGAACAAAAAAGACGATGAGATGGACGAAAGCAAAGAAGAACTGGCGGATGAATTAAAGTGGAAGGTGAACTTAGCCGAGAAGGCGAAACAGGCGTTCATTAATCGCCAGCAAAACAAAAATCTGATGAAGCTAGTGTACGATGTGTTGCATAAGAACAACTCGTCGACCAACAAGGAAACGAAGAAAGAAGAGGAAGAGGATGAAGAGGTCGGCGAAGATATAGGTAAGATACTGCGCACGGTTCAAGAGAAGCAGAAGCAAAAAATTCAAGAGCGAGAATTGCAGAATCAGGAGGAATCAGTTTTCTTTACAACGGAGGACCCGCGTGATTGGTTAGAGGAAGTGAACAAAGCGCTATTGATGAACCGTTTTGTGACAGGCAAGTGGAAGGAATCGGAGGATGCTGAGGAGCTTCTGAAGTTGGATGACATGAACGACGATGAGGAGGAGATATATGGCGACTTCGAGGACTTGGAGACTGGGCAGAAGTACGAGGCAATTCGGCCGGCATCCGAAGAGTTGCTAGCGGAGGACGAGATGTATGAGAAAAAGAAGTTGTTGGAGAAGAAGAGAAAGCTGAAAGAACAGTTTGAACAGCGGAGTACGATAACTCGGAGACAAAGACGTACTACGACCAGCTGAAGGCCGAAGTCGAGAGACAGGCGGGTATCAACAAGTCAGAGTTTGAAGGTCTGGACGATGACATGAGGGTACAGCTGGAGGGCTATCGGCCGGGGATGTACGTGCGTATGGAGATCGAGACGGTACCGTGCGAACTGATCACTCATCTGGACCCGACTTATCCGCTCATCATCGGTGGCCTGCTGCACGGCGAAGAGAACATCGGCTACGTGCAGGCGCGCGTGAAGAAACATCGTTGGTACTCGCGGATCCTTAAGAGCCGCAATCCGCTCATTTTTTCTGTGGGCTGGCGGCGTTTCCAGTCATTGCCGATCTACTCCAAGCTGAAGGATAACCTGCGCTCAGTACACGCCGGAACACGTGGCTTGTATGAGTCACTTGTGGAGCCCTATCACACCACAAGGCACCGGAATATTGGCGGTGCAAGACGTTGCAAGCAGAGAGCCAGGCTTCCGCATCGCGGCGACCGGTTCGGTTGTAGAGATGGACAAGAGCACGCAGGTAGTGAAGAAGCTCAAACTGACCGGTGTAGCCATGAATATCTATCGCAAGACCGCGTTCATCAAAGATATGTTCAACAGCACACTCGAGGTCGCCAAGTTCGAGGGTGCTAGGATTAAAACAGTGTCGGGTATCCGTGGGCAGATTAAGAAGGCGGCGGCCAAGCCGGAAGGTTGCTTCCGTGCTACATTCGAAGATAAGATACTGCTGAGCGACATAGTGTTCTGTCGCACGTCATACAAGATCGACGTGCCACGCTTCTACAACCTGGTGACATCGCTGCTCTTGCCACCGGCCGAGAAGAATCAATGGCGAGGCATGAAGACCACGGGGCAACTGAAGCGAGAGAGGAACATCCGCGTCGAGGCCAACAGAGATTCCATGTACACGGCGATTCACCGAGAGCCTAAGGTATTCAAACCGCTCTACATACCGCGGAAGTTGCAGAAGGAGTTGCCATACAGGGACAAGCCGAAGCAAGCCCTGCCGCCCAATCGCAATCCCAAGTTCGGCAAGGGCAGAGTCGCCGTGGTGCGCGAGCCCGAGGAGCGAAAGGTCGCGCGTCTCATGAGAATGATCAGGACGAGTTACGCGCGCAAGCAGCAGCAGACCAAGCAGGCGATGACAAAGAGAATCACGGAATATCAAGCGCGAGTTGCGGCGGAAGGAGCCAAGAGATTGAAGAAGCAAAGGGAAATGAAGAAAGAGATATTCAGGAATCTTAGCAAGCTGGAGAAAAAGACAAAACGTGTAAAAAAGTAAAGTGTTTGGAGAAAAGGAGTGTACATAATGAACGTTGGTTGAATAATTTATATGTATATAAAAATTTTTTAATAAATTCTAATAATTTCCAATAAATTTATAAATTCTAATGAAAGATACACTACCTTGAAATAAGAGATGAGAGGGGAGGAAAAAAGGAAGGAGGTAACTGCTGAAAGTTGTGTTTATTGGAAATGTGTTTGCATAAGTTACAATAATTATTATATATATATTACCAAATATATTAGTCCATACAAAATAACAATGTTAGACGCGGCGTCTCTACAGTATAGCTTGCGATCCACGCCACGATGTGATAGTATGATGGCCTGTCGAATAATTGTCTCCACTCTGAAACGGAAATGATCGATTTCTACTTAGTTACCGGTCGCGCAGCATCAACCGTACGTCGATCACACGTGATTAATCTTCTACGATAATATTCGTAATAAATACCAATCTAACAATGTGATCGTTCTCACCTGCGCGAGCATTAATAATTCATCCTGCGTGTCGACGATCTTCACCGGGAACGGTGAGCCCGGCACAAGCACGCCGGCCCAGCGAACCTCCACTCTGTAATCGCCGGGTTCCGTCGGGTCGTATCGGCAGAGGATGATCCGATCCTTTTGCGTTTCTCTCTGCATCTCCACTCTGAACGCTCCCTTAGGTCCTCGCACCCTCACCGTAAGTTGGCCAGCGCCGGCGCCTCGGGTGTCGCAGATGAATCGCGACTGGAAGGTCGCCAATACACCGTGCTCGATTCCAGGCCCGTAAACACGTACCTGTAATTTTTTATATTACATCGATTATTATCAATAACATCCCAATCCCAATAATGACCAATAATACTCTTGAAATTAGTTTGATACCTTCGAAGCGTCCGGAGCGCCAGAAACCCGCAGCGTGAATGGCGATCCGGGAACATGCTCGCCGGCGTATTTGATCGTCAACGCATGCCGACCTGCTTCCTGAGGCTTTACATTCAATGTGAACGTGGCATCGCCATGATCGTACAACTCGCAGTACGCTACTTTGTGCGGTCCGACGCAATGCGCTGTTAACTCGCCTACGAAACACAATCGATTAAGAATTTAAAGAGCGAAATTAAAATTAAGAATTAAGAAAATATAATTAGAGTTAGGAATTGAGAAAATAATTAAAATTAACATTTAAAAATACATAACAAATTCGGATAAAAAGATCTCTGATACAGAGAGAAATATCCAAGACGGGAGACGGATATTCCTCTCAGCATGAAGAGAAGAAGTGTTCTTACCTGGTCCAGCTCTTCTCGTGTCGATGAAGCTCCGAATCTCTTGGCCGACAACGCCATGCTTCAGTCCGTCCCCAGAACAGATGACTCTGGACGCGTCGGCCGCGCTCGTAACGTTAATCTGCAGGGGACAACCCTTCAGCTGCCTTCCGTTCCACGAGACAGTCATTAGTAGTGGGTCCGGCGTTAACGGTATGTAACTAGCGCGATAAACACTGTCGCCTGTGCATTCACAAAAAGTTATCGTCAAAACTGCAGTTTCTCCTACGAACTTGCGTTTATTAGAATCTTTGTTTTCTCACCTAGATGTTGTAACATGACGTTGAGCTCGCTCGTAGGTGAGAACAGTTGAACCTTTGGGGTTCCGTTGCCGGCTTGAGAGCCGTCTATGGTAAAACTGACTTCTTCGCCACATTTGGCCGACGTGAGCCCCCGCCCTTTCAGCAGCACTCTGCTTGTGTCCTGCACTGGTGGCTGTTGAACGAATAAACAGGATATATAGTTGCATGATACACAAGTGCTAGCAATATTAAAATAATAAAGAGTGAAATGCGGCGAGAAACCTCCAAATCCTGCACGACTGCGAGTTTTGGCGCACCGGGAAACGGTGTCCCGTTGAAGAGTATTTCCAGTCGATGCTCGCCCCCGCTGATTTGAGGCGGAACAAGCTTCAGCCGGTTGTTAGACGTCATTTCGAAGCTCAGCGAATGATCGCCGATGGTGCCGCTGATCTCGCCGGGTCCGGCCTCCGCGGTGTCGAAGCTGATCTTGTTGGTGGGGTGTAGCTTCAAGCGACCGATATCGTCGCACACAGCAGACCATCCACCTGCAATTAAAAAAATCTCACTGAGTATATTGTAAACTCAATAAAATTAATGAGAGAAATATTTTTCTGTAGAAAAATTTGTAGTTTCAAATATTTTTTTATATTAAAATAAGTTATTTTAATATTTTTGCTGGAGAAAAATTAAAACTAAAATTGGGACTGGCAACTGACCTTGATGAAGAAAAATTTCTATAGATAATTTCTATAGAAATTGTAATAAAAGTTTTTTTTTATCATAAAAGAAATTCTAGAGAAATATTTCTTTATTATCAAACTATAATGATTAAAATACAGTTAAAGTGCACAATTCCTTGGATCTTAATTTCTAGAAAGATTACTTTGATTTATATATACTTTTTAAATTTTCTCATCAACTCCGATTTTTTAACTTTAATTCCTCTTCGATGGAGATATGCTGTATAGACACACATTTTGAAAGATAACTCACCGATAACACGCAGATTCCGCGTATCTATGATCTTGGGATGCCACGGCGATCCCGGCAGTTGTTGTCCAGCCGAGACGACTCTCACATCGAAGACACCCACTTCGGTAGGCACATACGACACGTTCCACGTACCCGGATTAGCGCCAGCTTCGATAGTAGCTTTGGAAACGCTGTCCGGCCCATCCACCTGTAGACACATATATAACAATCCAGTCAAACCAACCGGTACGTCCTACACGCATTAAGCGTACGTTGTTATTATATTGCGCGAATACCTGAACTGCCGGAGGACTCCTCGTCCCGGTAACGATGAAATGCGCCGGTTTGCCCACGTGACCGCTTAGCAAGCCCTCGCCTTTCGCGCGCGCCTGCCCCGCTGCGTCGACGGTGCATACCACTGGACTTCCAGGCACAGAGCATCCGCCTGATCATCCAAAGGAAAAAAACCGGTGGACAATAATAAGCAACAGGAACGAAGAAAACAAACTGCTTATTTCGCCGGGAATAATTACCGTAGGTGACGTTGATCATGTAAGTACCGGGCACGCTGGGTGAGAACTCGATCATCTCGGCACCGTCGTTGAGCGGAGTCACTTGTAGTGGAATCTCCTGGCCCGTTGGACTCGTCGCCGTCACGTCCAAATCGGCCATGCCGGCGTCGGCTTTCATCACTGTACAGAACAACGCGACATATATCGCACAATGGAGCGAGCGGTAATCCAATAATGACAGACTGATGTTGCTGGACGCGCGCCGATGCTGGCAATGAAGAGAAATGACGTTCGCGCTCTTGAAGCGATATCGCGAACGCGGCGGTGCGATGTGTCGGTGGATCGTGACTTCACTTCGTGACGCGTGAGCGAGCAAGACTATTTGAAAGTGGCGTTATGTTTGTGCTATCTGCTGCAATTATATTCCAGGTGCAGCCTTGAGACGCGCTGCACTAGAAAACGCTCGCTACTTTCTCCCGATCGTATGCATGGAACGCGCCTTCTACACACGAGCGTGCCTTTTATACATTTACATAACCATAGGATACAATGCGAGAAGCATGTGTATACGCCAGGTGCATACGATATTACGCATCGGCCGTTTGCTCACCGCTATCAGGCGATTACATGGCGATTAGCACAGTTCCCTTAGCCGGATAACTGGACTTTTCAATCGTGCCCGTGTCGTCGATTCAGGTCATGCGGGCTTTTTCTTTGCGCACGCGAGAACGATCTCGCGGAACGCGGAAGCGCGGAAGCGAAGTGATCGCGAATTGACACTCACGTTTGAAGGCGATGTGGTCATGAACTGAAATCGTCATGGGGCCCAACTCTTGAAGCTTCACCTTGGCGGCGTCGAAGGCCTGGCAAAAGAACGGCGAACCCAACACAGGCTTTGCCCCTTGCAACACGTCGATCTTATATGTGCCTGAGGTGCGAGAGAAGAATCGAATATTTTAGATCTCTCATGCGAGACAGTTTGTGCGTAGGCTTTAATCGCGGAGATTAATGAACTGGTCGTTGAGAGACTCACCGACGGAATTCGTCGTGAACTCGGCGAGCAGGTTGCCGTCGCGATGCTGATAGCAACGTACAGGCACGGCGTTACCCTGCGGACCGCTGATGACGACGTCGAACTCCTTGCCAGGGCGTCCAAGGGTCTCGATCGTGAACGACGTCACTTTCCCGACGCATGACTGATACAAGCCTAGTCCTGTTGCCGTAACTTCTCGCCCTCCGGTAGGACCGCGCACTGTCACGTCCAATGGACTCCCTGGAAGCAGGGTATATTAAGATTGATAATTGTGATAAATCGTGTGATAGATGATTATGATATATTCTATGATACGAATATCTCTAACAATTTAGCGCATTAACAGAATACAACGGATAATTAATTGTACCTGGGATATGGACCTCGTTGTACTTGATGTGAACTCTATGAGGCGCGGCGCGTGTAGGATGGAACACAATCTCGTAGACACCGTTGTCTCCCTCCCTCACCAAACTGTCCACGTCAGCACCACCGGCGCGCACGTTAACGGCCAATTTGCCGGGACCGGCTTCCTTCGACGCGACGACTGCGCAATGAAGAAACACGACGATGTCATTTGTATATTTGAATTTGCACAAATAGTTCATATGTCTCTGTGTATCGATTGCATAGTTACCCAAAATAGTTCCGGGTCGATGGCAAACTACGTCTGCTACTTCCTTGATGGAAACTTTGCTCGGATCGAAAGCTTGAAGCGTCTGCGAACTGACCATCTTGTGCCCGTCGTTGAATATTATGCTGTAAGTCCCTACTTGCCGCGTTCGAACTTCCACGCGGTACAAACTGGACGACAATTTCGTTAACGTGCATGGAATGATTATACCGTCCGGGCCTGAAAACGAAAGCGAGGCACTATGATAACCGGCAGAAAACAAATCTGACCGTGTTTAATTGAATTTTAAAATAATATTAGAATTTTTTAAATAATAAATGAACTTTAAAGTATATAAAAATTCTTTCAAGATATTCGAATTGAAAGTACAGTACTGAAATTTTAAGTGATAATTCTCATGACAAATGCCAGAGAATACTTTACCGGTGACTTCCGCCGCTACAGGACCATTCAAGTCGGACATATCCAGGTCGATATAAGCCGTATTACCAACTCGAACCATCGATGGACCATGTAACATACCACTAATAACAGGACATTTGAACGGGCTCCCTGGAAGGAAAGAAAGAGAGGAAAAGGGATCAGTTAAATAAATCTTTCAAAGATGTTGAGATTAAAGTTTCCTTTCAAAATTCACAAACCTGGAACATTGTCGTCGTTGAAGCTGATGTTAACGTAGTGAGCGCTCGTCGTTTGCGGCACAAACGTGACATCGTACAGTCCACGCGCGCAGGCCACGACCTCGGCTTTAACCGTGTTGTTCTCCGTGCTCACCACTAGTTCGAGAGTTCCTTCGCCGGCTTCCGCGGCGTCGACGGTGAACGTGGTCGCTTGACCTAGTAACGCTTCCATGAGACCTGACACGTGGACCTACAATCGTAACAATGTAATAACGTTATTCTTTGAAAATCCCAAAGAATCATAAAAAGAGATAGAGGTAAAAATCCTAAAGATAATTAAAAAAAAGAAACTTACCTTTGTCACGTCATAAATATTACACGCGAACGGAGACCCTTTGATCGATTCGCCGTCTATCAAGACGCTGATGTTGTGTCTGCCGACCTCCGTAGGCACAAAGCTCACGTTGTACTTGCCGTCGATGGGCTCGATAGTGATGGGTAGAGCGATACCCGACGGCGGCGTTGCGATGACGTCACAGTTTGTTGACGGAGACTGTGGATCCACAGTGAAGGACACCAGTCGCTTCACAGCGTTCATCTTCAAGTTGTGTCCAGAGAGCACCGCTTGACCAGCGCTCACTACTTTGCAGCTGAACGGTGAACCTGGACATTCGGACAAAATGTTAACATTGAACACGCTGGGTATCTTGCCGAACATGCTGGGTTGGCGATCAGGTTCGATCTTGCTTCATACCAGGAACCGGCTCTCCGTTAAAGCGAACGCTGAGACTGTGCACAGCAGCTTCTTGCGGCTTGAAGTTGACCCTAAACTTAGCGTTGCCCTCGCTTTGCACATAATTTGGAACATTCTTGCCGTTCACCGCGACTATGATTTCTAAGTTCCCAGCTCCAGCTTGACTGGCATTGACTGCAACAACAAAAACAGGGGTTATATTATATATTTCACGTTTAGCTACATCGGTTTTATCGTCGCGGTTAACATGGAGAAAGGTATCTTACTGCTGAAAAATACAGGCTTTCCAACAATCCCGCTGTTTATATCCGTCACCTTAACTTTGTCAGCGTTGTAGGCTTTGACGAGGAACGGGCTTCCTTCCACGTGTGAGCCGTTAAGTTTCACCTCGACACTGTGATCGCCTGCATCATCAATATCGTTTAGCGCAACGTTGACTTTACATTCATGTCCCGCATTTTTTAATTAACACACATAATAATTAACACACACGTATACATACCGACGTCTTTCGGTGTAAATCCAGCGGTATAGGTGCCGTGACTATTTTGCTTGATGTGCACAGGTAAACTCTCTCTGGTAGGAGAGAGCACCTCGACAACCGGTGTCCCCAGAGACGCGTCAGCCTCTATTGTAAAGGTCGCGACACGATTCACAGATACTTTCTCGAGTCCCTCGGTTATCAGTACTTTCGCGGTATCGCTGACCTAAATGTAGAAATGGAGACTCATAACTACGTGTGCCATTATATATAGTGTCAATGATCTTAATTTCAACACGTTCATTACCACTTTTGTACCATACTTATGCGACAGCGATCATTTTTCTCTTTGTAGTCACACAAACAAAAATATGTATATAATATTTAACCCAAATAGTAGAACATTAAAAAAAAAAACATCTCAAAGACATTTCAAAGACATCCGGATTTTTCGGATATTTTTTAGACGTCTCGAATGTCTTGTAAAAGTTTGTCACCTGGGGAGAAACTACAAAGTACCTGACAACTGAACGGACTGCCAGGCACGTCCTCCCCGTTGAACCGCAAGTCCACAGTGTGCACGATCGGTTCGCGCGGGGTGAACGAGATTGCGTAGGTATGAGGACCCTGAGCCTGTGCCGACGTTGGTACTCGTCCGCCGTTCACGGTGACCTCGAGGTTTCCTGGTCCCGCCTGACTAGTCTCGACTGTGGACAGAGGTGAAGGAATTAGATGCTGAACATGTCGCGCTCACCGTCGTCGTTCGCCGCACGACGAAGCGCGCATGAAAATCCAAGGGAATACATACCCAAGAAAGTCACGGGCATACCAATGACGCCTCGTTTAGCATCCTTCACCTTGATCGCGGTGACGTCGTACACTTTACAGCTGAAGGGGCTGCCAACCACCGGAATATTCCGATGGCTCACCGATATACGGTGCTCTCCGACGACTCTCGGTGTGAAGGCCACGCTGCATGTTGTGTCTTTGTTGTCAGTGACCTGAGCGGGTACGGCCTGTCCATTGGGCCCTATCAAGTCCGGCGGTTAGTTGTTTATTATCATTTAGTTGGGCCATCTACTCGGGTGGGATCACAGGGAACACCGGAGGCCAGCGAAGAGAAGAGGTTCGCGTACGTCTGATCTATGCGCTTCGACTATTGTTGCATCAGTACTTGGAAAAAAAAAACTCGCGCAACAAGCGACGAGTTAAGGAGTCGCAAAGCTGATTACGCGCGTGGATGCCTACGGTAAGTCGAAATTGTTACGTGACTATGATGCGGAAAGAGAAAGCCGCGGTATATCGACTGCTCGCGTTGGAAATACGCTTAAACTAAAATCACTTCCCGGGTGATTCGCCGGGTTCGCGGCATGCTGGGTTAGCGAGAAACGTACGAAACACGGTCGCCAAGCGCGAGGCACAGGCATATTAGAAAGATGATGCGCTAAAGTGTTATCAGATAGAGAGAAACTATCTTGTAATGGCTTCGTTTGTCCGCGATATTAAACGCGGGCGTGTACGTACTAAGTTACTAGTGGACGAAATATTGGCACACTTGTTAAGGCACATCGTGTCCAAACGGATCTCCGCCGCGTCGGAACGATCGCGCGACTCACTTAAACGTAAACGTAAACGTATATAGCACCGTAAAAATGGCCCCGACACACAGAGGTGAAGAAATGCAACTCGCGAGCACGCAAAGGCAAGAGATGTTACGAGGTGTGCGTTAGACATGCCTTCCACAGCTCTCCCACAGTGGATGAGAAAGAGAAGCTCGAGAGAGGTGAAGCGCTCGTAATACTCCCGGAGTGGTAACTAACAACGAGCGCAAGAGAGGGATGTGTGAGTGCGAGGAGCGGGTCGGTTTAATTAGACTATCCTTACGCGAAAGATCTTCAGCAGATCGAGTTAGGTACCCACCACCATCACCGCGCGTATTTTGTTACAGTCCGCATAATTATAGCTAAGAGCGAGATATTAGTATTTTTCTTATTTCTTTTCTTTTTTTGCGTGTATTATGTTTTTGTTTTTTTCTTTTTTTTTCGTTTTGAGAGAGGTCTAGTAATGTCGTAGTCTGAAAGCTGGCCGACCTGCAACAGACAGAGAGAAAAATTTGCTCTCAAGCTGTAGATTAACGTGAACAACGAGAGATGAATGATTCCGTACAGGTATCCACGACGATTACGTACACACTTATCTGTGACGTTAAGTACAGAACAGGAAGAAAGAGAGAGAGAGAGAGAGAGAGAGAGAGAAGAGAGAGAGAGAGAGAGAGAGAGAGAGAAAGAGAGAGAGGGAGAAAGAGCGAAAGAGAGAGAGAGAGAGGGAGAAAGAGCGAGAGAGCGAGAGCGAGAGAGAGAGAGAGAGAGGGAGAGAGAGAGAGAGAGAGAGAGAGAGAGAGAGAGAGAGAGAGAGAGAGAGAGAGAGGATTCCCTCCAGTATTAAGTACATGGTGAATTAACACACTGTGATGCTTCCGTGCATGTTTGTCGGTGACACATTGTACAACTGGTGTGTGTGTGTGTGGGTGCGTGCATTATACATGAACGTTCCACTCGGAGATACGGTAAGAAGCATCGAGAAGGTATATCGGTCGGGAAGATTCTTGTCGTCCGGACAACGCGTCGCCGAAGGGTGACTTAACGTGTCGGCGAGAGTCGGCTTCACAGGGAGCGAACGCAAGTGACAAATCCGTCGGATGACAAATGGAGTTAGCCGGTCGAGTAGAATTGGCGCGTGTTCGCGGTTAACGCACCGATACGTACCTTCAACGTTAACTTCTAAATCCTCCAAGCTACCGGCAACGTTACTGACGGTAAGATAGCTTTGCCGTCCTAATCCAGCGCTGCTTAATGCCTGTCCACTCACAGTTACATGGCTATCGCTACCCACGCGCGTCACTATGGGGCAGCCTGGCACCGTCTTCTTGTTGAAGGCGATGTTGATAACATGCTCGCACGCCTCGAACGGCACAAAGCTGACGGAGAAGCGTGCGTTTCCTTGCGGCGTCACTTGCGTTGGTATATTCTGGCCGCGAGCCGATATCGTGATCTCCAGGTTCCCTTCACCAGCTTGACTCGCGTCGACTATGGAATAGGAAGATGCAAATTTTCGGGAATGTTACGTGTAAACTCGACGTACTTCTCTGTATTTTCGTGTACTTTGTATTCCCGATGTTGTTACCTACCAGTAAAGTGAGTTGGTTGGCCGACACTGCCTCTGGCTACTGGTCCAATTAACACTTTGTCCGCGTTAAAAGCCTTAGCTAAGAATGGTGTGCCGTTCACGGGATAGCCGTTATATTCCACGCTAATTGAGTGTACGCCTACGTCCCTCGGTATGAATTCCGCGGTGAAGCCGCTGCTTATATCACCGGTCACTTTAACCGGCAGTTCGCTGCTCGGTCCTGAAAGGATATCGGCTTGAATTTGTACAACCAAGGAACAACAGTTACAGTTATAATGGCCCGAAAACATGGTAAGGAACTCGCACTAAGAGTCAAGAAGGGATGTAACTCACCCCTTACGGAAACCGCGAGCTCCGCGCTTCCGCTTCCATCGACTCCCATGTGAAAGCTGGCGGGCTGATCGACGGGGATCAGTTCCAGATGATTCAAACTCAACGTGACTCTGCTCGTGTCCGAGACATTGCAGACGAACGGACACCCGCGTACCGCTTCTCCGTTGAACTTGATGTCGATATAATGTGATTTTGCGACTTCGGGCGTAAAGGATACGAGGCAACGGCCACCACCCACTACTTGCACGTGATTGGGCACTTCGCCCTCGTTTATGGAGATCTCCAGCTGGCCTTCCCCAGCAGCGCTAGCATCCACTGCGAGAGAATTACAGGCAGAGAGAATTGAGAGCGATGCACGAGATTACGAGTAAAATATAAACCGTAAGACGAGAGACTCACCTCTGAATTGACAGGCATGACCGACCACGGCGCTAGGTACGTCAGTAACCTGGATCAAACTGCTGTTGTAAACCTTGGCGACGAGTGGTCCCGCCGGTAGCTTTTGTCCCGCGATGCTGACTTCCACGAGGTGACTGCCTACTTCGGTCGGCGTGAACTCGACACGAAATTCGCCGGATCGTCCTGGCTCCTCGTCGATCCTCGCGGGAATATGCCTCTTCGAGGGTGCTGCAATTCATTGCAAAAGTCACACTCCTGTTCGCTTGTTCTCGAGAGAGGACTTTTCAACGATCAGCCGGAAATTTCAATGGACATTACTCACTTATAATCTGCACGTCGATCTCATTGCTCCTGAAACCTAACGCGGACAACTCGAAGAGGGCAGGGCTACCAGCAGGGACCAGCCTGATGGAGTCACCGATCACTGACATCTTCGGTGCAGGCATTATGCCGACTCGCCAAGGTGATCCTGAAGAAAACTTGCTGAATTAATATTCGCCGCTTTAACCATTCAACGTAATACATTCAACGCATTCACGGGTGGTGTCGCGAGGACGAAACAACTGATAAACTTGAGATAAAATTAAAATAAAATTAAAAGACGCATATCCTCTAACATCCTGTTGACGTCACTCGATTCTCACAATACCGACACTACATTTCTCTTCTCGTCAAACTTCAACTCGACACTCAAATTTCCCGCGATAATATCCGACACGCGAACTTCTTTCCAGAACTTTTCCAGACGTCGCGGCTATCCGTATCGGTTCCCAACGGGGTAGGCGGGGGGGGGAGAAGGGAGATTCTCGGCGGATTGATTCGTGCAAGCGTTTCTCGCGGCGCCGATTTACAAGCAATTTCATTCGGTCGGGGAAACGCTCGATTTAACGAAGCTGAGCCGGAGTGGCACGTGCGAGCGCGCCGATCAAATGGTCGGCCGATTAATGCGGCGATCTCGGGAGAACTCTCATAATCTCGCTTCCCACGCTCGTTTTCGTGCGTAAACAACGCGTGCATACGCGCTTACGCTCCGCGCCACCCTTTCGCGTGGCACCGTTATGCACGGCGAGATGCGCGCGGCCTCTTCTTCGATTATAATAACAGTACTCGGCGCTCGCCGATATATAGGCCGCGACGCGTATCTTCGCCGAGCGGCCGCGCATCGCGAATCGAATTCCAGAGAATTCCCGGAAGTGCAACGTGATTCGAACGCGCGACACCGAGCGCGCTACCACTACCACCTAACCTTCCTGCCACGCGCACGACGCGCGCGCGCGCGCACGCGCACGCGCGGCCGCGCCGCCGCGATTGTCGGGCAAATTCACCTCGCGGCGGCCAAATTCGCGCGATTAGACGCGCGGAAGGTTGTGTCGCGCGCGTTCACTTCGAGAGGTCGAAATTGAAGCGATCGCGTGAGAGAGCCGTTCGGATTTTCAAGTAGCAAACACGAGAGATCCGCGCGGACGCGGCGCGGAACAAACAAATAAACAACATTCCACGGGGATCATTCTCTCGCGAGATCATCCTCTCTCGTCCCGCCGGCTGTTTCGATCTCAGGTCGCCGTCGGCTCAGGACGACGGCTACTACCGCACGATCGCGTTTTTTTACCTCGGCGGTCGCACTGAGCGCACAGAAGAGACCTGGAAAAAGACGCTGGAAGAGGAACCTAGAGAATCGAAAGGAGAAAACGACCGGGGCGGGGCGGGAAGGGGGACGAGGAAGAGACGGGCGCGGGGCGAGGTCGACGGCGGCGGATTCGGAGGACGTGGCGGCGATCTCGCGATCGATCCGGCGCGTCTCTACGAGATCAGCTCACGATGATCACACACGCTGCTTCTTCTCTCTCACTGACACTCGCTCGCACACGCGCGCGCGCGTGCGCGCGCGCGTCGATCTCGCTGTTGAGCCGTGCCTTAAACGGGCCTGACGAGAGGAACGCGGCGAGAAGGAGTTCCACCTTCGGCTGCCGAGGCCGCGCGCACGAGATCGGCCTGGCCGTAGCGAGCGACGCCGCACGCTGTGACGAATAACGACAACGACGATGACGACGACGACGACGACGACGACGACGACGACGACGTCGCAGCTTCCCGCAGCTGCATCACGCGACGAGGAGGCGCGAAGCGGCTCCGCGGCTGGAGCACGGAACGGCGCCCGGCGCCCGGCGGACGCCCGGAGAACACTCGAGAAGCACGAACTACGGCTGCGGCGGTCACACCGTGTACGTACGCTCTCCGTACGCGAGCGCTGGATCCGCGCACAATCCGACACAGGTACCGCGGCGGACTCGACCGAGCCGAACGACGGGACGAGCGTGTGTGCCCGTGCCGAGAGCCACCGCCGCTCGGGCCCAAACTCAGGGCCGTACGGCCGGCTGGTGACGCGTGCACACCTGGACGACGCGCGCCCGTCGTCGATTTTTACGGGGGGGAAGAATCGGTCGATCGCTGCACACTTGCTTGGGCCCGGTTGTTCCAACCCTTCTTGGAAAGTTAACTGATACTTCGGTCGTGTGTCTGTCTTCGTTTAAATTGAACAGAAAACAAAGATAAACGTATGATTTAACTATCAGTTAACTTACCGAAAAGTTGGAACGACCCTTGCAGATGTATCATCGCATAATTGTGAGAATGTGCGTTTTCAACTTTATTTTGTGATATTTTCCCTCTCTCTCTCTCGCTCTCTCTCTCTCTCTCTCTCTCTCTCTCTCTCTCTCTCTCTCTCTCTCTCTTCATCTGTCTCTCTTTCTATCTCTGTCGATCTGGTTCTATGTCCGTTTCTCTTGGGCTGAATTGAAAACGCCGCGTCGTCTATCTCGTTTCAAGACCGGAAAGTACAATGCAGCACGCGGCTGAAAGAAACAGACGTCGTATCGCGCGGGAGATCGCAGTTCTGGATCTCTTCTGAATCAAGGCGCGGAGATCTCGCGGGTTCAACGGTGAGAAATCCGATCGGAGATTCGCGCGACTTCGCCTCGCGTGATATACGCGTGACTCGAAGTCGTCCCCGCTTCCATTCGCGGTTCCGGGAGTTTCCGGGTCGAAATTTCGAGATCCTCAGAAGATTCGAAACGTCGACGTATACGGGAGGATACACCGGAGTCTCATTTTGATGGATAGATTTCACGTGCGACTATATGAAGAATTCAAAGTCAACGGTGAAAGTTTTCGGGCGCAGTGTATCGATACGATCTTGTCGTTCCCACCGAGGAATATTGAGCGTGGCCGTTCGATTTTTGCCTGACGTTGATATTAGGCCCGTTCTCCAAAGGATTCAACCAGTGTTGCACTGGACCCTCGTTCCTTTTTTCTTTGTCAGTTACATTCAAGTTATATTCCTTTCAAGTTATATATATATATATACACATTTGTTCATATATATATATATTTGTATCATTCTAACAACAAAAGGTACAAACTAGTTCAGCCAAGAAGAGATCTTTCATTTAATAAATTTTCAATCAATAAATTGTAGAAATTTATTAAATTTCATTTAATGAAATTTCATTTAATTAAATTTCATTTGTTAAATTTCATTCAGTTAAATTTCATTTTATTAAATTTCATTTGATTAAATTTCATTTGATTAAATTTCATTTATTAAATTTCATTTGATTAAATTTCATTTAATAAATTTCTCACATTAAGCGCGGATTACACCTCCATCAATCAGTACGCGTCTGAGAGTCAACGATCGGTCAGTCGATTGATCGATCGAATTGTCTTCACTTTCTCTCTAGCCGCGGCAATTGGCTGTTCATTTACATTTTCTACATAATAGCATACTTTTTCACATGGTGCACCGAAGACCGATGTGCTCGAAACCGCATTTTGAAAGTTTATGCCGCGGACAAGCACGATGTATCTATCCATCATTACAGCCTATTTCCAATCGTGAAAAGAATACACGTAGGAAGGGGCAAGCTTAGCCACGGGGCCTTGAAATCGCGTGATACGTCCGACGGTTCTCGCTCGCCTGACTGGCTGCGGGCCGTACGATCTCGAGGGATACCCACCTGTGATCTGCGTATTTCGATACCTTAAGGTTGGGCATGAATAGAAAATCCTCTCGTTCCTTTCACGCAAGGGTCCCCCTTTTCGGTCCGAAAACTATCATTTCCCAATGCCGCGCGTCTCGCTCGTGAAAGAACCGATGCAAGTCTTAACAAAGAAACTGGACTCTCTGCGGTAAATTTGAAAAATACACCGCATAAACCGGACGCGCAACCGACGCCAGCTGCTTCGCATTCAACAATGACCGTCAATGAAGATGGAATTCGCGACTTTTGTTCTGAGTTGACTCATTACTTCGCGCGTGCGACGCGGAAAATCGGAAAACAAATGAAAAGAAATTGTCCATGCCAAGTTTTGCGATATTACCGACTCGTATCAAGTATGATTGCTCACGGGGCTTCCCCGATATGTCGGATGCGATATTAAAATTCGGCATAATTACCCTGAGTCCGTGTATGAATACGCTGTTATCGGACGGGAATGCAAATTCTCGGCACGAGCCAGAGAGTCAGGTCGCGCATAATGAGTGTAAATAGTGCGACTGGTTCTTTCGATCAATAAGTCAAAGCAGGAACCATTAGGAAGTATGACGCGTGCAACGACGATAATAAACTAATAAGAGGACGACAAGTAACAACCAGTAAGAGACAGCCAGTCGGCGACTAATGAGATTTCGCGGGCGCATCCGTGTCTAACGTTACGACTTGACATAATTTCGCGAGGAGGGAGAAACAGATAGACACACCGCGACATGCGGTTGACCTGTACGCGAGCTATGATTAAGCGAATCCTTTGACACCTGCGACAGCGTCACTCCTTACGCAGCTGTTGCGCAATGCGACGTTTTAATAAGCGCCACGCGAAGATTACGATTCCGTCCATTCAAGGTGTAATTATAGCGCGTAACATTATAGCCCATATGATTGTTCCTTCAATTTGGCGAATCGCAAGTGGTGATTGTCGAAGGCGATACGTCGTGAGAGAAAGAGAAAGAAAAGGAGAGAGAGAAAGAGAGAGAGAGAGATAAACGAAAAATTGGTCAATATTAAATTAGCTGACATCGTGATCTGATTGATATGACAATTCGCCTCAACCTTCGCGTCGTATCAAGAATATCACGCGAAGATTCCAACAGCTGTTATTCGACTCTTGCTTCGAGTCGCAGCTGGCGAGGACGTCGGAAGACGGGTTGCGGTGGGTAAGGAATGGATCGATGATAAGAAATTGATCAACGGCGAATTAATCGTCGCGACGGTGCTACGAGTGATCGTATGCAAGACAATTCGCGCAAAAATTCAGTGGTATTCCCGACGAGTCGTCGCACTGTGGAATGTTTGGCCTGAAAAGCTGGTCAAAAGTAAATTTTCTTAAAATCATTCCTGCTCTACATGAGTGACTGTCCTAGGCAATTAAATATCTGTGGAATAATGGGCCGCTATGCTTTTGTTCGTCCGT